TCAGAGCTGCTGTGAGGTCGATCGAGCCGCCGGTCGTGTTTGTGTCTGATGTGCGAGCGTGGGCGTTTGGCCCCGCGGGGTCGGGGAGCTTCGTCTTTGTTCCCAGACTTCAGCTGCTGAATAAACGGCGTTCTCGGCCGTGAGCCGGCCCACACGGTTACGCTGTGTTCAGTCTGATTCCCACTGCAGGGAGAGCCGTGGGTGTGGAGCGTTCCACACCATCTCCACTGAGAGAGTTTCCACTCACTAACACTCGAGCTGCCACAGCAATCAGAGTCATCACCAGCCGAGCATCTCGTCAGAGCAGCGCCGCCTGGAAACGGCCCGCTCTCCCTGAACTTCCTGTCAGCTGTTAGCAAACACAGCGGCGTTAAAATAAGCTCACAGTGTTTACGTTTGAAGCTGTGAGGGGAGGGCACGCGCTCGCCATCACGCGCGCTCGCCATGTAAACGAACACCCCCGACCGCTCGCTAATGTCGCCTTCTTTCTGTCTGCAGATGAGCTGGCCAGCTGTTTGGAGTGTGACGTCCTGGTTGGAGGGCTTTGTGATGAGTCATCGTCCTCTGGTACGGTCCGCCGCTCGCTCTCGGCTCCGAACCCGCCCACTGTGGATGCAGCCACTGAGCCTCAGTCTAAATACCACTGTGACCTGGTGGCCCGAAACGGCAACGATGTTTATCGCTACCCGAGTCCTCTGCACGCCGTGGCGGTCCAAAGCCCCGCCTTTCTGCAGACGTTGGGTTTCGGAGGTCCCGGCAGAGATGAGGCAGACACCTCAGCTCCCCCCCCCTCTGTTTCAGCCCCCCATGTGTCTCAGAGCTCCTCCTGGCCGGCCTCCTCCTCGCAGACTCCTTCCCATAAGCGGCTGGACAGCTACATCTACAGTCTGCTCCAGAGGAAGGCCCAGCCAATCAGGACCAGCAAGCCCAGGACCAGCATCAGCACCGACCCCTCAAAGAGCGTCCTCAGGCAGGCCAGCCTGTGTGCGAGGCAGGTGTGCGGCTCTGCTTTTGGGACTCTGAGTGGATCCGACTTTAAAGCCTCGTGGACGGCTAGAGGAGCATCGGCAGAGGGAGCTGGGGCCTCGTCTCCACAGAGGCAGTGGTCTGTGGACGGGAAACTGGAGGAGCAGGAGACCCAGAGCGCACTGAAGGATGGCGGCTTTGAGGCGACGCACAATGGCTTCGGGAGGGGCAGCGGCGAGTCCGGCTCTCCTCTTCGGTACGACGTACAGAGCAACTCTGCCAACAACCACGACAGCAGCACCAACTGTCTGAGAAAGAAGAGCAAAGCAGATCTTCCTCACGCCACGCTGTCTGCCAAAACTCTCCCTAAAAACTTCAGGGACCTGGGCAGTCCCAAAGCTAACCCCGCCCCCAAAGAGGTCAAACCGCCATGTTGCCCCCCGGACCAGGAGATGTTCCTGAAATCTGCAGCCATGAAAACACAGTCGAGTACTCCCAGGAATAGTCCAGGAACGGGAAGGTCGGCACTGGAGCTCGCCAGTGTGGGGTCCTCCTCCCAGAGTCAGGACGAAGCAGCCGGCGAAGGAGGAAGCTGTCACGCGGTTACCAACAGGTATGTCCCCGCCCACCAGCACAGACTCCGCAAGGGCGGCTTCAAGAATGTGAAGGTGAGGAGCTCATCGATGAAGACGAGTCGTGTCTCTGAGCACAGCGAGCCTCCGCCGGAGAGAAGACAGGACAAACTCCGCCACAGGTCCCGCCTCCTGGAAGATGGAGGCTCCGCCCACGTTAAAGTCTCCAAGAGATTTACTTCCTCAAGAATAAAGCGCCTACCTGCACCCATCCCAGAAGGCCGAGTGCTGGACAGACAGCCCCCGTCGGCACTACACGGCGCACGACCAAGCGTATCCAAGCACCATCACCATGGAAACCATCACTGCTGCAGTGGTAACCATCACCACGGACGCGACCAGGTCGTGGTCGTGGCCAAACCAAAGTACAAAAGGAACGATTACCGGCGGTTACGAGCCATGATGGAGGTCCCGTACGACGAGGCGTTTAGACGTGCTCAGCGGCGCCAGAGAAAGGAGCTGCTGAACAGCAGCGTGTACCCGCCCGCCGGAGCGC